TTTGAGAACAGCTGGGCAAACACAGTGAGGACCTTGTCTCTATCAAAGAATACAAAATGAGGTGGGGAGCGATTTCTTGAGTTCCGGGGCTGGAGGCTGCCAATGACATGATGTGCTCTTGCATTCCCAGTTTGGAGATATAGGACGTGAGACTGTTTGTCTCTAATTTTTGTATCTTCATTTTTAACGGCCACATCATATCTCATAGAGGTACCGTAGTAGCTTCAACCATTTCCCTGTTAATGAACATGTAGAGTGTTTGCAGTGTCTTTTTACCATCTTTTCTATGTATGTTTATTTCATTTTCTTTTTTTCATGTATGTTTCCAATTGTATAACTAAAATTCAAATAAGCCAGTGAAGAAAATAAAGAGAACTGGTGCTTGCTCTAATCACCATTGACTCCCCCTCGCCACCCCCCACAATACTACTTTATTTACTTTTGCTTTTTAAAATTGTGGTAAAATATACGTAACATAATATTTTTCCCCATTTGTAAGCACACAATTCATGGCATTAAATACATTCACAATGATTTTACTATTATCACTGTCTATACCCAGAACCTTTTCATCATCCCCAACAAAAACTCCTTATCCATTAAATAATTATTCCCCTCTTCTGCCCCTGCCTATTCTAGGTGCTTGATATAAGTGGACTCATATAGTACTTGCCTTTCTGTATCTGACTTATTTCACTATACACAGTGCTTTCAACATCCATTCATGTATCAACATGACCTTCTTTTATAGCCGTATAATACTCCATTGCCTGTCTGTGCCACGTTTTGTTTATCCATTCACCTGTTGGTCGCTTCCTCCTTTTGACTATTTTGAATAGTGCTGCTATGAACATGGATGTACAGATGTCTGAGTGTCTCCTTTCGGTTCTTTCAAGTAATGCCAAGAAGGGAAGTTGCTGGTTGGGTTTTCTTTTTTTTTTTTTTTTTGAGAGAGAGTCTCACTCTGTCACCCAGGCTGGAGTGCAGTGGTGCAATCTCAGCTCACTGCAAGCTCCGCCTCCTGAGTAGCTGGGATTATAGTGTGCCTCAAGTAATTCTCCTGCCTCAGCCTCCTGAGTAGCTGGGATTATAGGTGCGCACATGCCTGACCAATTTTCATATTTTTAGTAGAGATGGGGTTTCACCATGTTGGCCAGGCTGGTCTCGAACTCCTGACCTCAAGTGATCTGCTCACCTCAGCCTCCCAAAGTGCTGGGATTACAGGCGTGAGCCACCATGCTTGGCCTCTAGCAGATATTTTTTTGTTTATTTGATTCTTTCTCTGTGTCTACCCATTAGATGGTCAGTTTGGGGGAGCCTGACCGTTTCTCTTTTACCCTCTGCAACTTCCCGAGCATCAGAACAATGCCAGACACACACCAGGTGGCTGGTCCGTATTTGTTGACTGAAGAACTAATCTGTTCTCTTTCAGTACTGGATACAAACGACCGATTTCTACGAAAAATAACCATCGGGCAGGGAAACACAGAGAAGGGCTATTTCCGGCAGGTAGGTGGTGCTTTCTTCCCGCTCTGTTCTTATGTTCATTTCCACCGGCCTGGGAGCTCACTCTTTGCCTTTCTTGTCTCATCCCCAACCTGTTGTGGCCAGTGGTTCTCTCACTGTTTCAGGCTCTCAGCAGGGCTGGGAGAGGATCAGAAGACATAGCTCCAGTGTCTTTTTACCATCTTTTCTATGTATGTTTATTTCATTTTCTTTTTTTCATGTATGTTTCCAATTGTGTTTCTAGGAAGAGCCACTCAGTATATTCTTTGAATATAAATTCTTACTTATTTTATTGGGAACCCAGCCAGGTAATACTACATCTGCATAACTGATAAATGAAAATCTCAGACACATTACTCAAATTTCATATATCAAGGAACAAACACCTAGTTATTAGACTTAATAGCATGAGGATTTTTTTAAAGGATAATGGCTTATTAATACAAAAATAGGTTGTTAATAAAATACAGAGAATGCAGAAGAAAAATTATGATGTCTGACTTCACTGTAATAGATATTGGATGTGCATCAATGGCACTTAGGGAATACAAATTAATGCCTATGATTTTTCATCCAGGCACAGTGGGCTTCTAAATTGTGTTGTGTTTTTTTTCCTTTTGAAGTGGTTAGAAACTGTACTTTTTAGTACAATTTTAGATTTATGTCCTTTATGTTAAGTTTTTATTAGTGAAAAAAGAGTCACTTGTACTTTAATAACCAATCCTTACACCAAATAGACTTGGGACCTTTTGAAGTGTCTTGAATTAAAAAGTGAATATAGGTATTGGATTAAGAAGAGAAACTAAGTTCGTGGACCTCGTCTCCTCCCAGTCCTGCAACTTACACACACACAAACAGATTTCACATATCCATGCTAGCAAACTGGAATCATTGCCATGAAGTTTTAGAAAGTTCTGAAAAATAGAAAGATGGAATTAGATTGATGAATAAAAGGACAGCCCAAAATGTGGTGGACTTCCATCCTTAACAAACATTCTTGCTTTTCATGTTCTTAGCCTCTCCTGCTAAAGTGGGAGTTTTATAAGAGCAGAGGTTATTCCCGTTTTTGTTTGCTGCTGTGTTCCCTATGCTCAGAACAGAACTTTGTTACATATAGTCATAGGTGTTCAGTAAATATCTGTTGAACAAGTGAGTAAAATAAGTAAAAGACAATTTATGGATACAGAACTAAAATGCCAACATAAAAAAGATATTCATGAGTAATCATAAAACTGCAAATTGAAACAATGGAGTATCATTTACCTAGGAGCTTGTCAAGTGAAAATAGGAGGTACTAAATGCTAGTGAGGATGCAATGAAATGGGGGCATTTATGCAGCATCAGTGGGAGTGGAAATCCCTTTTGGATGAGTTTGTTATTACTAAAATTTGAAATGACCCAACAATTACAACTTTGGAACTAAAAATATTGTAATAAAAAGAAGAAGAAAATGTGTAACGTGCAGAAAAAAATTCTGTGTATTAGGATATTTGTTGTGCCATTATTTGCAGTGGTGAAAACTGGAAACAATCCAAACGTCCAACAGTAGGGATGGTTGCATATATTTAGTCTGCCATTTTGTCCCATGGGAGAGTTGAAATTAATAAATGTGTGTATAGGTGTCATGACATGAGTAGAGAGCTCTCATACACATTGGAAAGGTTGTAAAACCCATTTTAAAAATTCGAAGTAAAATACTGATAGTGTAAACCTGTTTATGTTAAGAAAAACCCAGCATGTTTACTTACATTATAGGCACTTACAACTTATTTGTGTACATACGTGCCTAGAATGAAAAGTAGAAAGATGGATACCAACTGTTGGCGTTAGTTGCCCGTGTAATGAAAAAGGCCCTTTCTCTGCATAGCTTTGTACTGTTTAGGTACTGGAGAGATGGAAGATTCACAGTGGCCTTGATTTCAGTGCCTACTCTGTGCATTGTATTGACAGTTCCATTATGGATATTAGCACATTTCATTTGTAAAGCTGTTTACAAATGAGGAAATTGGGATGTTATGTTAAAAAACTTGCCCAAGGTTATATCTTGTGTTGCTTTGTGCATAGATATTTTTAAGTAAAAAAGGGTTATAGTGTATTTAAGAGCTTTAACTGCTTTTTATTTATCATAAGACTATAGTGAAGACATCTTTTTAGGTCAATAAAGGTAGACCTGTATCTTCATTTTTAACGGCCACATCATATCTCATAGAGGTACCGTAGTAGCTTCAACCATTTCCCTGTTAATGAACATGTAGAGTGTTTGCAGTTCGGGCCATCACAAGTAAGCTGTAGGAAGTATACACATATATTTGTGTGTGTATTTGTTGATAATATCCTTAGGATATTATTCCAGATGTGTGATTGCGGAGTCAAAGAGGATTTGGCCGGGCGCAGTGGCTCAAGCCTGTAATCCCAGCACTTTGGGAGGCCAAGACGGGCGGATCACGAGGTCAGGAGATCGAGACCATCCTGGCTAACACCGTGAAACCCCGTCTCTACTAAAAAAAAAAAAATACAAAAAACTAGCCGGGCGAGGTGGCAGGCGCCTGTAGTCCCAGCTACTCGGGAGGCTGAGGCAGGAGAATGGCGTAAACCTGGGAGGCGGAGCTTGCAGTGAGCTGAGATCCGGCCACTGCACTCCAGCCCGGGTGACGGACCGAGACTCCATCTCAAAAAAAAAAAAAAAAAAAAAAAAAGGAGGATACAAATTTCCAATGTTGACATATGTTTTGACATTACCTTCTAGGAAATTCATATCAATTCACATCCTTGCCAATATCCCATATTGGCCTTTGTGTGAATGTGTGCTAAATCCCTCATTTGCCCTATTGTGATTATTATGCATTGCATACCTGTATCAGAATATTTCATGCAATCCATAAATATATACACCTACTATATACCTACAAAATGAAAAGGTAAATACTAAATCAATAAATGTATGATGATCTGATAAACAATAAAAATTTCATTTGTATCTTTATATGATTTTTGAAATATTTTATTTGCAAAACAAAAATGAGCAGCCTTCCGCTATGCATGTCATTTAATCATTAAAGTGAATAACAGTGATACCTCAATTGACCCATTTGGTTTCATTTTTTGTATGCTCAAGATGTGAAATTTTGTAATTGTAACAATTACAAATGAAGAGCTTGAATATGGATTATATATTATTCTTATTTACACAGCTAATATTTTAAGAATATGTCTAGTCTTGTGTTTTATACAGAAAATCTCAGTATTAGTCATTTTCTCATAAGGACTGTTTATAATGGAATGGTAGTATAGAGAACCCTAAGTTTCATACATTGAAAAACCACTTATGTTTGGAATGAGTTATATTGAGAATGTAATAATTGAATATAGTTATATTTGACTTTCAGGTAATATTTTTTCACTAAATCAGTGACTAATGCAATCTCAACCAGGAAGTAGCCAGAAAGTTCCTTATTTCCTTCATTTCCTTACTTGTCAGTGACGGAAATGGATAATAAAATGTCTCATAAGGTGATCCCACCAGGGCATGGCCATTCTCTCTCTGTGTAAGCTTGAACTTGTCTGGCTCACACTTCCCTTGGGAAGAAGAGAATTAAGCTGGGGCGTAATGAAGTGGTTCTGTCCAGAGAAACATTCCTAGTGGCTGAATTATGAGGAGGAGGAAGTACACATTCCTGTGTCCCTTTTATTTCTTGTTGGACTTTGTACAACAATGGAGCCAGAGCCAAGAGATGGGAATAGGAAGTCCTAGAACTTTTTGCAAAAAGTCTCTGCTCTCTAGCTTTCACTGCTGAAAGCTTCAAGATCTGATGTCGCCATACCCTCCCCGGCAGCTGAAAATTGAGTCTGTGCCACCAGTTGACTGGGGTGCCCTCCCTGCTGTGTTGAGATCCAACTCTGGGAAAGTAGCCTCACATGTAGGAAGCCAGCATCTTTCACTGCCTCTCATCTCTGCGCCAGACAGACAATGCAGCCTTCTTGACAAACCGATTACTAACGGGGAGGTGGTCCATAGGCTAGTCATTAATTCATCTGATGCATATTGCATGTCTTCTGGGTTTCAAGCTCCATGCTGGGGATTCAGAAGTGAACCTGCCTAATATAGTCCCTGCCTTCATGGCGTTTGCGGTCCGGTGGTAGACTGATAATGACCACACTAGACTGATAATGACATTAGTAATCAATTAAGTCTGAGACATGCTACAATAGCACACCATGTGGTAGTGCTGTGAGTACTAACAGGGGTCTAACAGGTAGTACTAACAGGGGTCCTAACCCAGCCCACCCCTTGCTGAGCAGAGCATGACAAAGAGCACATTGCCCGTGGGAGGCCATCCTAGGGAGCACCAGGCACGAACCCTGCATGGTCCAGACATGCAGAAAACTGATGGAATTGCATGCATGGCCTTTGGAGGGTAGACTCCCTGGGCCTGCGCTTGCTCCTTGACTGAAGTCCAGCTCCTTGTGGAAATGGCCGTCCCATTGGCACTGTCACTGACTGCTACCTGTGTTTGGGCTGGTTCAGGCGCAGTTTGACATCGCAGTGGCCAGCGAGATCATGGCGGTGCTGGCCCTGACGGACAGCCTCGCGGACATGAAGGCACGGCTGGGAAGGATGGTGGTGGCCAGTGACAAAAGTGGGCAGCCTGTGACAGCAGATGATTTGGTGAGTGTTTCCAACCCGGAAGCTTCAGGGAGTGGGCAGTCCTCGTTCTTTGTTACCAGAAAAAGAAAGGCTTTCTTCCTTTTCTCAGTGGGTGTAATGAAGATACAGAAAAAGTTTCTACACACATTTCTTTCCTCACAAGCATGTTTGTCTGACCGCTTCCTAATGTTCTCATAGTCAAACATGACGTGCTTATACCTGGCTGCAACCAAAACACGTGAAATTTTTTTCAGGAGCTTTCCTCCGTCTTTGCTAATCCTGATCTCTGCTTCTGCCTGGGCTGGGGAGGAGTCATCCCCCTGCAGTCACTCGGCAACTTTTTAAAAATGTACCTTCTATACCTGCCTGAAATTGAGGGCAAATCACCTTTTCAAGGAACAGAAAGAAGTGGCTCTGCTTCCATGAACAGGAAGGTAAAGTTAAAATTGGCACATTTCTGGCACCAGCTTGGCTTATTATTTAATTTGGGGCCTTAGATTTGGGTTTCTTATTATAAAAGCAAATCTCTACCTCAATCAGTCTTGCTTTTCTAGTTCCCCTTTGAGTAGTTGTGGTGCTTTCTGTAAAGCTTTCATGGAACACCATTGCCTTTTTTAGTGCTTTTGCGAATTGGCACGCTAATCTTCTTTTCTTCTTCCTCTTTGTAGTGTAATAACAACCTTTCCGGTTAACTTTTTTTTTTGAGACTGTCTGGCTCTGTTGCCCAGGCTGGAGTGCAATGGCACAATCTCAGCTCACTGCAGCCTCTGCCTCCCGGGTTCAAGCGATTCTCCTGCCTCCGCCTCCCGAGTAGCTGAGATTACAGGTGTGCACCACCATGCCCCGTTAATTTTTGTATTTTTAGTAGAGATGGGGTTTCACCAGGTTGGCCAGGCTGGTCTCGAACTCCTGACCTCAGGTGATCCACCCACCTCGGCCTCCCAAAATGCTGGAATTACAGGCATGAACCACTGCACCTGGCCTTTTCCAGTTAACTTAAACTCCACATATTCCATAGGTGTTTTGTTTGCTTGCATTTTTGTATATAAGTGCTTGGGTGTGGACACAGGCCCCTAAGATAGCCATTACTCCAAATTTAAGCTTACTTTCCCATATACTGCATCCCCTACAATAATGGAACTTAAAATGCACACTGGCGATTGGTAAGCAGTTGTGAACAGACAAAGGCAAAGTCATATTTTATTAATTTCAAGGGCTTAGGGTATAATTTGAATCCTTTTTCAAAGTGTCCTGATTGTTTTCCAGCTGCTTTTGAAGAAATGAATCTAACTCATGTCAGAGGTCTTGTCAGGTAAATTCAGTAGATCAATTTATGTCAGCAGCCTATGGAATATTTCGTATAAAACTTAAAGAGAAAACCCTCAGGTTGCTATAAAAGTGCTGCTTTATTAAAATTACCAAAATCTCACTATTTCTATCTAAACTAACATACTAAAATTTCTGTCTAAATACATTGCTCTGTATTTTATTAATTTGTATAGCAATAAATATGTGTCAGGAACAGTTTTGAAACTTAATCCTCAAATACTACTACCTTACATTTATTTATTTATTTATTTATTTATTTTTATTTTGTTTTTGAGATGGAATTTCGCTCTTGTTATCCAGGCTGGAGTACAATGCCGTGATCTTGGCTCACTGCAACCTCCGCCTCCCAGGTTCAAGTGATTCTCCTGCCTCAGCCTCCCAAGTAGCTGGGATTATAGGTGCCCACCACCACACCCGGCTAGTTTTTGTATTTTTAGTAGAGATGGGGTTTCACCATTTTGGCCAGACTGGTCTCGAACTCCTCAGGTGATCTGCCCACCTCAGCCTCCCAAAGTGCTGGTATTACAGGCGTGAGCCACCACGCCCAGCCCTTAAATGTATTTTGGTGTGAGTGTATGGTAAAAATCTTGGATCTGGAAGAAACCCAAAGATTACTCTTTTCAGTTATCTTTTTAAATAAACTCTTTATTTATCTCTTTAATAAACTCTTTTTAGTTATCATTTGTGTTTCTTGTTTGCAAAAGGTACCTAATTTATTCAAATTATGCTTCATCCAGTGGGAGCTATTGAGAGTTGGCCACCCATAGAAAATTGAGAGAGGATTTTAGGAACTGCTGAAAGTTTCTGCCACATGCATGATTCTGATATACCCTGGAAGAATGGTCTGAGCCCTCCTGAAGGGACACAGAGTGTGGAATGCTAGCAGCACACAATGGGTGGCAGAGCTTGCCTTGCACGTGACAGCACAGGTGCTGAGATGTGTCCCAGAAAGATGAGCAGGTAGAAACCTACCTGAGACATCCAACAGAAACATCCCTCTTAACTTCCTTCCTCCTTTGGTTTTTTGAATCAGTTTATTTGGTTGGGAAGTGTAAGCAAGGATAGTGTGCAGAGAAGTAGGAAAACTACTCCTCTTCTTCACCTGCTCTGCATTAGCACAACAGGACAACTCTCACTGAGCCTTCCTGTCCTGAAGATTTCTTTCTTCTTTTCTTTTTTCTTTGTTGCCAAGAAGTTATTCTGATGCTTTCTTCATAAATTCCCAGTCCTCAG